CTACCGGCGCGACGGGTGACACGGGCGCGACGGGTGACACGGGCGCTACGGGCGCTACCGGCGCGACGGGCGCGACGGGTGACACGGGCGCTACCGGCGCGACGGGTGACACGGGCGCTACGGGCGCTACCGGCGCACGGGCGCGACGGGTGACACGGGCGCTACCGGCGCGACGGGTGACACGGGCGCTACGGGCGCTACCGGCGCGACGGGTGATACGGGCGCACGGGCGCTACCGGCGCGACGGGTGACACGGGCGCTACGGGCGCTACCGGCGCGACGGGTATGACAGGTCTTACGGGTTCGACGGGGACCACAGGGTCTACGGGGCACATTGGATCGACGGGTAGTACGGGATCGACAGGCCTCACGGGATCGACAGGGACCACTGGTGCCACGGGCCCTGCTGGATCTGGAGATCTAACACTATGTCTTGAGGCTTGTCTGGCTGAATACAACGCATTCTATAATATTTGCATGGTACGTACAATTTTTATTTTTTTTTAAAAATTAAGGAGAGAGAAGTGGTTTTTTTTTTAGAGGCTCAAATATTCTTGAATGAAATACATCATATTTACAGTTTCAGCTAAGAGCAGCGCGCATGCGATGCTTGAGTGCTGCACAAGTGTCTCGCGACACATGCGATGCAGTCTGCCGGAATACGTCGAGTAGAAGAAATGTAAGGAGTATTGCAGGATACGTCAGAGATCTTATGGGAGGACAGAGACAAATGTAACATGGAAAGAGATTTTATCAATGGATCCTTTAGCGCGAGTCGCGCTTGCATTTGTGACTCCTCTTAGGACTGGTGTCATCACTTTGATGTTACAAATCACAAGAAAAACAAAAAGATGCGCACCATACAGATGCATATTTATCGTATATCCAGCATGAGGTTTCGGCATGTTATCTACTGTAGAATTCGTTGAAAAAGTATTGGCCGACAGCATCTTATCTACTGTAGAATTCGTTGAAAGAGCATTAGCCGACATCTGTTTGAAATTATTGCCGTCCAGTATTATAGATTTACTGGCAACCGCTTCGGGAGTGCATACTCAAAGCATATTGCACATGATTTTTTTCGAAGCTTATTATAAGGAAACATTGGTTGAGGCGGAGCTGGGGAAAAAAGAAAGATTGCTATTGGTATCCGGCGCATACTGTCGTCATTTACTTTCGTTGATCACGAAATGTCATTGAAGTGTGAACTTTCATTTCTTCTTCTACGAAAGGATTTATTATATCATAAGTTGTTGCCTGGATCTTTAAGAGTCTCAGACTCGTCGGTCAAATATCATGTACGGTACGATATCTGTCCAAGATACTCTGTGGACCACTGATGTCACAAAGTCGCTCTCCTTTACGTCTGTGAAGACAATGACAATATCTCCATTTTCCTCCACATATAATGTCATATTCTGGTACATGTTCGCCTTCATTTGCGGAAACATGAATGGAAACGAATAGGTTTTAAGTCCGAGTGTCATATCAACAGCGACCATATGGTAATATACATTTCCTACTTCACCACTGCCTGGTAGATCCACTGTTGAGTATGACTCAGACAGGAACCATGTATCGCCATTGTACTGGACACCATTGCTTGTCCTCCTGAAGAATGAAAAGCTTCTTGGCGTTTCTTTACTAGTATGCACTTCGCATGTTTCCCTGACAAAATTGCCTATCTGCATCGGAAACCATTTTTTAAGGCACAGGCCTCCATCAACGTTTGATAAACTAAAAGGTGCTGATCCCTGTAGCCTCTCCGAGAGCGAGGTGATAGAGACAAGCTTTTCAATTGTATCTTTGACGTTGTCAGCAGAAATTCTACGGTCACTTTCACCAGAAGTTGAGTATCTGCATTCTGTCTCAGCACTATTATTGAGCACCGAATGCCAAAAAATATCAGGCTGAGAGGCGTGATAATGGTGATATGTCACTGTTGAACGTAGGCATTTTATTATACTTTCGATCCAAGCCTCTCGATAAAAATATTCTCGCAAATATTGAGGGGCATACATGTTATTCAGAAATGAAACGCCTGCTGTAAGAGCTAGTATAGGTTGGTCAGGAAAAATATGCCGTGACAGGGTGGCCTTTTCAAAGTCAAGCCAAAACGCGTAGATGTCGCCCACGATAAATAATGTCTCTTTCACGGCCGGTTTAGGAATTTGTGATGCCAAGGTGTAATAGTACCAAGCCAACGTGTAGAGTTCATTATGATGAAGGTAGTATACGAGGTCATAGAGAGGCTCCGCCCGCTTTGATATTCGTGCTGCGAGTTCTCCATATTTTCTGGCGTTGCTTAAATCCTCGAGGCCTAAGTAACATTTGCAAAGCATGTATACTGCGTAGTCCCGCTCCACCCACCATCCATTGTCCATGAAACTGCGCTGTTCGTAGAGTGGAATAGCCTCAGCGTATCTCTTCATATCTTTTAGAGTATTTGCCAAATAGAAGACTGTTCGGGGATTCGATGGATCCCTCTCTAAATCTTGTCGGAGTAAATACTCATCACGTTCGAACTTGTCTCCTTTGGCTTTCCCATCCCCAACGTCTTCGATGTATATTAGATCCTTCGAGATGAGCTCTCGAGAATATTCATCAGGAACATCATAATATTCGTGGGTAGCTCCAATTACCTTGATTTTGTCTGCTGTGCGGCGTATAAGTCTTACATTTTCATACTCTACTTTGGATTCTTGGATGAGGTTATAAACATCTCTATCGTCTATGATGTTCCAACTCCATTCCGGGTGTACTTTTAAAATCATATCGGCATCTAATAACAGAAAATAATCGCACGATTTCATCAATTTTCGGCATTCGTCGATCATTAGGTTACGAGCCTGGGCGAAATTAATGAATGGTCCGTGCAAAACTTGACCTGGTACATCTATGGACCTCAAAACATCGACAGTATCATCTGTTGATCCTGTGTCCATGACACAATATTCCGACACGAAACCCCGAACACTATCAAATAAGCGCGGCAGTATCGGGCCTTCATTCTTTATAATCATGGCCAGGCATACGGATGTATTAGTATCGCGTTTGATGGCATTGCTTTCCTGGAGACAAAATATGGTTCCCCAAACGCAAGCTATTATGGCTGCTCGTCGTGCGAAGTGAAACATCCTAAAAACGGAGTATATGACACAATCAGAAACCTTATTTTGAACATTAAAAGCTTACGGTGTTTCCTGTTTGTATATCACTTTAATCTCTTCAAAGTTTACCTTCGCAAACAACAAAAACGAGACGGGCAACAACGAGACGGGTAGAGAAGTGATGTGCTTTTTTCGAAAATTTCAATTAGCATTCACCCGCAAAATGACTATGATTGATTTATGGTTTTTTTATCTAATTTCTCGAGATCCGTTCATTGCGGTCATAGGAAATGGAAAAGATCATTCTGAGCTATGCCCACACATCACCCCATCTCGTCGCTCTCGTTTCTCGTTGCCAGTTGCTCGTCGCTCATTTTTCTTACTCACAAGTAATAGTGAAGCATAAAAGCAGTAAATGCACAAATGGCAAGAGAATGCCAACCTAGATATTTCGTTATAATAGGCTACAAAGTGCTTAAAATTGTTTTCGAAGTCCTTTATGACTATCATATAGCGCCACAGATGAATGCATGCTTGGACAACTCGGAAATATAGAAGCTCATGACGCGTGCCACCTGTGACCTAGACCAGATCTTAGAAGTCCGCAGTCACTTCCTGAGATGACGGCCTGATCCACCAATTCTCGAATGTTTTCCCGCTCATTTTGAGAAGAAAATCAATTCGGGGAAGATAAATGGCTTCGAAAAAAATATAGCTCTTGATTTTAGCCCTTATAGCCCGGTATACACACTTCGCTATCAGGACAGCGACAGAGCACACAGGGATTTGCACAGCCAAGAACTAAGTCTGTAAATTAAAGTGATTCATTTCAGCACTTTTTGTTCGCGTCAAGATTTAAGTCTTGAAACTTCAGCTCTCTGATGATATGACCAATAAATATCGTTCATGCAAAAAAAAATTACGACTTGTGACTAGTAATGACTACCATGATCAGGATGACGGCTAGGGAGATGTGCTGCCCTATTATTTGTAGACAAGATCATAGTTTCAACCCCGCCTAAGAAAACAAGACCCTCTTTCTAGAAGGCAAAGCATACTTGGGATGATTTCACTATCTGACTATCTATATAACAAAGGAAGTATGCAGATATGGCTCGCAATCTTCGAACTCATCTCGGAGATTTTGCTCTGATCGCTTAGTCATCTTCAGTCGCGTCTTTAATAACATTACAAGCGCGTATTAAAGTGTGTACGTCGCCCATGTAGGTAACTATAATCTTGGAGCTGAAAGTCTTGGATGAGGTACATGCGTCTATGATACAGCGTAGAACAATATATCACTGATATTCGGGTCGAAATAATTGCTGACGCTTGAGAGTGCGGCATATTGCATATGAGTAACACAGCGCCTGTGTGATGATCACCATCAATCATTTTATAAGGTCAGAATCTCTTAGAAGGATTCTATAAGCTTTACATGAACATTGCGTAAAATAAGGCTCTGAAAGTGAGATAATGTTACATCTCGTATGTCTTGGGATTTTGGGTCTGGTAACAGGCCGACAAACGAAGAAACAATGCCACAGAGCTTGCCCGGCTCGATACTTTGCCATCTCAAATATTTAAGTCCCCTTTTTGGCTGATATCTGAGACATCTACAAGAGTTAACATAGCTATAATCATTTTATACGGATTTTGGATTATAGAAGTGTCAAATGTAACAGTAACAAATGTAAGGGTAACATCGTGATAATCGTGGAAGCACTTTTAATTTACAAAGCATCGAGTAAGTCGGCCGGTCATGTTGGTTTGAGAGCTTTTAAAGGTATTCAGTCAGCCCAATGCTGTTTTATCTTTAAAAAAACTACTCCTACATTAGTATCCACATCAGAACGAATCCAACGAAGTAAAGACAGGTGTACCAAAAATGTTGAGAAGAACCCGGGACAGGAGGCCTAGAGCTGAGTTTAGCCATCAGTGCGTTGACAAAAGCGACGAGTGAAAAGTGCATTTTCCTTTGTTTGATCATTCCGGAAGGATGCGCGCCAACGACAAAGTGTAATTAAAAACTTTGACAAGCACGTGTCGCATCACTCAAGGTATAGTCATAGAATTTAGCAACTCTTTCGATAACAATTTGTTGCATGCCATTGTTAGACATCGTCAAAGTACTGTTCAATCTCTCCCCAAGAACATTGTAACGTCCATGACGACTTATCACGGACACTGTATCCGAAGGTGAGACCCTCATTGTCTGCTTTCAAGCCAAGGCAATACTCGATATCGGTTTCTGAATTAAATGTAAATGGAAGCGAATATCGCAGAACTTGGCTCATTTCAAAATTTAAAATCACTATTCTGTGTGTATAGATCCGTCTTCTACCTGATCGATGTTTGACCATATGAGTTACGAACCACCATTCATTTCTATGCAAAATTCCATTTGTAGATCCCCTCATATTCAAAAAGGACAATGGAGACTGGATCGATCGATCAATAACAAATTCTCCTTTGTCTCGGTCAATGTGTCCAATTCTGATGAATGGGTACCACTCGTAGACCAAGCTTTCGATGCCATTGACAAAGACCCAATTTTTTTCGGTACGATCTCCAAACGGGCCCCTTATAATATCTTGAATCGTTAAAGTCCATGTATCGGGTTCTATGACCCCAAGAAGCTGATTCATATGGTTTGCACTGCGAGAGTACTCCATTGAAGCGGACAGGGTGTAGATGACGCTGGAATTTGCTTTGTAATCGAAAGTGGATTTAAATCGAGTATCCTCTAGTCCCTGAACATAAGCTTCCGGATGATGCCATCCTCTTTCAGTGATTCGTTTTCGAAAATCCTCCGATTCTTGAATCTTTATATATTGATCACTGCCATCTACAAGAACTCGCGTCTTCACTTGGGAATCCTGAGAAACGTGGTACGACCCATCCTCTGCAGCGAAGTAGTTTACTTCCCGGAGCAGCACATGTGAGTCTAAGAACGTGGGAGTAGAGAAACGCCAAGGGTCATTCTCGTTCTTTTCAGCACGTAGAAGAGTGCGATGTCCGCGCAGTGATTGAGTATATACTGGAATGTTGTTATACACAATACTTGCAAGGTTAGAGGGGAGCAAGGGATTCTCCAGTAAATTCATGCATAGCGACAGACCATGCCGTCGCGTAGAGCGATCGCTGAGAGCGCCTACATAATACCAAATAATTGATTTTTCGTAGTCCAACAAATAATCATGGACTGCTTCTTCGCCCGGAAGACGGCCAGCAGGCTTCGAGGTAGACATTTTGGACGCCAAAAGGTAGTAGTAATAAGCTAACGCATAATTTTCTTTCTCTCGGAACGCCTTGCAAAGGTAGTATGCCGGTTCTGCCCGTGGAAATGATTGATCTGAAGTAGTGTCGACCAGTAATCGGGCTTTTCCTAGCTCACCATTTTCAATAAAACATTTTACCAAAGGAAGTATATCTTTATCCTGCATATCATTAGAGACTTCCGTATTTAAAACTTGAGCAAAGCATTTTGAAAACTTTAGATCATTTTTTTCCAGAGTCGCTTTTGAAAAATCAAGCGTAGGATCTGTTAATTGACAAGATGAATATTAGTATCTAGGGACTGCATAGCATATAGGGGTAGAATTTAAACAGGGCTTACCGTCCACATGATGTGACTGAGGATCGAATTCTTTTTTCTGTAACCTTAACGAAGCCAATAGAACGGTTATGAGGACTATCACCAAAAGGGAGTACCCCAAGGGTCTATAAGATTTTATGTGGTTTTTATATCGTCTATCATCCTCCTTCTTGTGCAAGCTGTACTCATCCCGGACAAATGGCTACATTATATTTAAAAGTTAGGGTAAATTAGTTTTAATGTTAGTTTAGGTTCTCGAGGCATACAAGTAGCTTGTCTCAGCCTACCGTGGTCGCGCACGAAAAGGCGCGATGAAGCATTAATCCTCACTTATGGTTAAGCCAGTTGTGCTGCGATGAAAAGGGAATAGAAATTAGATTAAGTACATTGCGTGCGCATTTAGATCGTAGCCCTCCCTGTTCTCTCTCTCGCATGTTTTTATGCGGTATATCAAGACGTAATCCCGCAGGTCATGCTCAAACGGAGGACCATGATGACTAGCTGAAAGAGCCCTGGCTTGTCAGGTCATAATAGACGTGCGATTGCTAATAATGATTAAGAATGTATATGTCAAAGTCAAATTACTTCTTGACAAGACCACTTCTCTATGGAAAACTCATGTCAAAGAAGAGATCAAGTGTGAGCATAACGCTTGCCCTGTCGGAACATCGCGGACAAACTTCCCGTTACTACCTGACTGCCCGGACATTGAGGCCTAGAGTCCGAAGCGTGATCCTATCCTTTCAATACTTAAAAATCCTCCTTGACACAATAATCTCGATAGGTGAAGATGGTCCAGCGCTCTAATCGCTGGTATGTACAAAATATCGGGGGGAAAGCTGGTGTACGAGCACCCACACTCCTGCTACTTATTAGCGTTCTGGCAAGCCTGTCATTATTGGTGCTGAACGCGACCTATCTAAATCATCACAATCAACTCATGAGTCAGACTCACTCTGTTGATCATCTGGGTATAAATAGAACAATGACGCCCGCAGTAAGCTCAAGATATAATGTAAATCAAGATAACGCACCCCACGGTCGTAAAGACCAAAACGGGGTTATGATGATCGTAGACCCTGAGCGAACTTTATGGACTGCGGGATGGAATGCAAGGTATACAAGGTATTACAAAGATTCTAAGCCTATGATAACTTGGACCAAACATGCTGAGAACATTTTTGAGAGGGAATATCGACGATTACATTTCCCATCTAGCTGCTTAGAAGTGCGAGGGTAAGTTAAGCTTTGTCAGTGTCACGGGAAGCGTCATAGTTCTTCGGCACATGCATGCGTATTTGCGCAACATCATACTTAACATTCTAAACACTATCTACGCAGATGGATGGTGACCAAGCCATATTGGTGGGGCCTCGTCTCGGTCGCTCGAGATTATCAATCTGACATCT